TTCAACATGGTGGCGCAAGCCATTCAAAACAACCGCCATGAAATATCCGCGTTTCACGGTTCAACTCAACACAGCCCTTCAAACCCACCAGCGACGACCGCCAACCATGGATCAATTTCACCGCCTCCCACAACTCAGCACTACAGTAAATCTGCAACTCGATCAGCGAAATCACGATTTATTCCGCAACCCTGCAGCTACTGTAAAAGCCGGCATTCGTCGAACGATTGCCAAACCTTAAGTACACGTGAATCCCGCTTAGACATTGTCAGACGTAATAAACTGTTTTAATTGTTTAGGCAAACACGGTGTAAAACAGTGCCGTTCACGCTTCACCTGTAGAAAATGTAAAGGTGATCATCATACGTCCATACATCCGGACACTGTCGATTCAATTCAATCTGTCACCTTTGCTGTTGCTCCACCATCTTGTTGTCTCTTGGTGTCCGAAATAAATCTATCAAATGACTAACTGATTCTCTCATTAAAAGGTGTTGTTGTTGTTATCCATCGATATTATTGTCGGTTATATGAAATGCAATTTTAGTTGATTAAAACAAAAACATTAGATTGAAAGTTTGTTTTTACACCAAAATGTTTTTGGTTTAATTTTTTTAGCTCCGCTGTCGACTTTGTCGAGCGAAGCTTATCATATGAGTGATTGTCCGTCTCCGTCGTCGTCGTCTGTGTCAATGTTTTACTTTTTCGACTTCTTCTTGAAAACTACAAGCCTGAATGCTTTGATACTTGGTGTATATGTACCTTGGGTAGACCTCTCTTAGGTTTATTCATTTCATGATCATATCTTCAATTCTCTAATTTTGGTGAATATTTTTGTCATTTTTGGTAAAAAGTGATATTTTCGACTTCTTGTTAAAAAACGCAAGTGCAATTACTTTGATATTACATATATAGGTACTACATGTGTACCTCTCTCAGATTTGTTCATTTTGTAATGATATCTTTAATTCTCTAATTTTGGTGAATATTTTTGGTAAAAAGTGATATTTTCAACTTCTTGTTAAAAACCGCAAGTCCAATTGCTTTGATATTACATACATAGGTACTACATGTGGACCTCTCTCAGATTTGTTCATTTTGTAATGATATCTTTAATTTTGGTGAATATTTTTGGTAAAAAGTGAGATTTTTCGACTTCTTGTTAAAAACCGCAAGTCTGATTGCTTTTATATTACATATATAGGTATTACATGTGGACCTTGTTAATTTCGTGGTGATATCTTCATTTACTTAATTTTGATGATTATTTTTGTCATTTTTGGTGAAAAGTGATATTTTTGAATTCTTGTTGAAAACAGCAAGGTCCTTTGCTTTGATACTATACATATTGTTCATTTTCTAATGATATCTTCAGTTCTTTAATTGAAATGTGCATTGCTAACAGCGGAACTATCTCAGCCGACAGGCTGCTTGTTTAAAGATAATATCCTATTGTATGACGTTACAAAAATAAAAGTTTTTTTTTGTTTTTCTAAGTAGTGCTATGCTTGTTAATCAGACTATTATTATGCAATGTTACAATAACATAGTGAATAAACTATGCACAGACTTGCGGAGATCCATTAAAAAAACAACCTTGCCCTATCTTTTGGGGGCCCGTTACTGAAAACACAAGATTTTTTTTTGTCTAAGCATTGTTAATGATGAGTGATACGGAGCGATTTTAAATTCAGCGTTTACGATTTTTGTCTGATTTGTTCATTTTATGTTATTTTCGACTTTTTCTTGTAACACAATCACTTTGTTTGTATACCTTGCATAGATTTTGTTAGATTTGTTCATTTAGTTCTATTTACATTTATCCACTGTAAGAGTCATTCAATAACCTTTTCAATAATCATGATGACATCACCAAGCTCTATGGAGACAGTGAAGCTATTGTGACCGTCAGGTCGCTTGTTTTAATAAGGGTTCATTTGATTTTATTTCACGTACTTTCCCCCTAAATGGTCAAAGTTTCTGGGCACAACCTATATTCACACTTTACCTTAAAAGGTCTTCTTACTACACTTTAACTCGTACAGATGCTAACTACACATAATGATGACTCCATCTACGCAGCACCATTGGTTTTTCCTATGACAATATGTCAATTCAAGACTAACAGGAAAATAAAAAAACAAAAACAGCTAAAATTTTCTACTCTCATATCCAAATTCCGGATGAGCATCTACGTCATTGACGTTCTGGTTTCAGAGATTGGACTCAAGATCAATTAAAAACAAAAAGTAAAATCGTTTTCAATTATCATTAATATTTCAAGACTAATTGACCTGTGAAAACTCTAATTTATTACAGAAATCTTCTCCACCACCTTGTAAAAGAACTAAACAAATCAGGAATTATCTATGTAACATTATTTTTGAGAACATTGTAGTTTTCCTTTTCTCGTAAAAACTTGTTTTCGTTTTCTAGTAACAGTAAAAATAGCAGAACAATGAATTTTGTTTATTTAACAGTCACATGACGTAATTAACGTTGACATTAGTGTTATCATAATTTTGGGATAGAGTGTTGCAAGGGCTACAATAACATGTAAAAATTGTTAGTCATTAATCATTATTATTATTTTTATCAAGCTTTTTCTGTTTTGCCCAACGAAAGTCTACTACACCCTTGAGTGAACTTACTTTAACTTTTGTTCTTTTTTCAAAATTGATACAGTCATCATTTTCTACATATGCACGTTCATTTGTTTTTCATCTTGCTGATTGACCATCCATTTTGTCCTCAAAAAAAAAATATTTTGACATGTCATCAATTGGCATATGCATATTGATTTGTTTTTTTGTTTTGATGACATTTTTGTCTGCAAGAACCATTGCAATGATGTATTGGTGATCCGCTCCGCTAGGATTGCCCTACACATTAGTTTTCCCGATCATGTTAAAAGGAGTTAAAACAAATAATTATTTCATTTTGTAAAGTAGTCAAGGGTCGCCTTTAAAATCACTTGTGTGTGTCTGTGTGTGTGTCTGTCTGTGCTTGGCCGATTTTGTTCAAACTTGGCAGACAGGTCACACCTTCACTATAGCTAGTAGGTAAAATGTGGAAAATATTCTGGCCCACCATTGCCATACAGTACTCATTTCGCCCAACCTTTCGTTTTACCGCTTTTTAATCGACCGCTTATCGCCTAATTTCCGAATGTGCGGTCTTGTGTGACCAGAAACTGACCGCATTTTGATCACCTTTTTTCCGCTCACTCAGAACAATTTGAAAATCATGATTCACACGGAAGTCCTTTGATACTGAAAATTATCGATGCTACTCTGGTTTACCTTATTTCACAACTTGCAAAGCTAATGCATCTCAGCTTGGTTTTTGTTTTTGAACTGAGGTAAAATCCCATCCCTTTTGTCAAAATAAATTGATGTTTTTCGGTGAATAATTTTGAATGAAGCCTGTCATAGCACAAAAACTATGTGAATCGAAGCTGGAGATTGGAAGGTCTTTAATTAGCATCAAATATGCTTTGTTACAACATCA